ACATAGATCCTCTCTATAGATCTATGTTGTATAAAAAAACCGACGTTTGGGTGATCCCCTACGAATGGATGGCGGACCCTCGCTTACGGGGGTCCGTAATTTTTGAAAAAAAATTTCAGGGGCCGGTTAGTGGGTATAGGTAGGGTAGGTAAGAAATCTCTAAGCTAGACGCTCCTATTTTCACTTGACTAAGTCTACATGATAAATTGATTAGAAATCTAGGTCAATGAAGGTGTATAAGTTCTCTAATAATCCTAGGACTTTTATCTAGTTCTTATTCTATCTATAGTGCACCTACCTTTCGGTCTAATCGCACCAGCATCTAAACATTAATACCTTATATATCCCTTCGACGCGAGAGGTAATACATACGACCATAGGGTGTGGAAAACAGGGCTTCCCGTCCGCTCAGCCGTACTTAAGCCACACGCCGGTGAGTTAGTAGTTGGGTGGGTGACCACCAGCGAATCCTCACTGTTGTATGTTTTTCTCCTCTTTTTGTCAAGGCTTTGTGGACAAGCTACCGAAGCTGCAAAGATACCGGTGGTACCCCGATAGTGTTTTATTATATCCAGGCTACCCAAGTAATGGTATCTATACGCATGAGTTGTGTAAGTAATTGATTTTTTTCTATGGAGCCGTTTCTTTGTTCCAGTTTGCGAGGCCTTCAGCTTGGATGATGGATGTCGGATTGTCAACGAGCACAGCAGATTTAGACCCATGGATCAAGGTGCAAGATATAAGATAGAGGGAACCACCATTGTTTGGTTGGAGCCGTTGTAGCCGGTATGGCGGGTGAGAAATATGCTCAACTGGATATCGTGTGACTTGATGGCTGAAGAAAGAAAAAAAAGGAGAAAGCTAATGTGGAGAAAAAGAGAAGATGGGACGGAAGATGATCTTAAAAAGAGGTACGTTTCCAAACAAGCAGAAGTAGAAACGATTCAAAGCGAGCTTGAGAAGCAAGCTCACAGACCTATTCTTCTATGAGCCGCTCTACGTAGTACCTTATTTTCCCTTTGGTCATTCTAACAAGGTCTTTGTTTTGCTAATGTCGAAAGCTTTCACTACAGGCGTTTTAAGGGTTGCAGCTTGACGACTCTTCGGGAGTAATCTGCCGAGGTATTCCCCGTTGGCTATGTGCCTCTTCGATTTTCCTAAATAAATCAAATTAATACCTTAGACTAAGAAGGAGTAGATTAAAGTAAGGTGGATGGTGTTTAAAGTACATATGGGAATTGAAAATTAAGATGGTGAGATTAGTAACGTATCAGTGAGTTCTTGATAGAGGAATTCAGCTCGAAGGGCATTTTCAAAACGTGCAGCAAGCATAGCTCAACCACAGATCTTTGCGGCAATGGCTTTCGGACGTAACGTCCCCGGTACATTTCAATGAATGTCTGGAATTTGGAGTCGTTTTCAATGACCCCCATGCGATTGGCGACTTCGATGCACAGGTTACGAGCATCACCTGGAAGATACTCGCTGGATGTCGGAGCAAGCGAGCCTACAAACGGAGGTACAAAAGCTTGCATCATAACGAACAAGTATTCTCTGTCATCAGCAGTACAGGGGCGGAGGTCATCTCTTCCTAGGACTAGAACTGCGCTATAAGGTATATTGTCAGGGTCTATCAGACGTGTTCAAGGACAAAAACTTACACGTAAAGAAATGGATCTGGTGCTTGAAGCCCGATGCCGATTTGATCACTTCTCATTAGCATCAGCAACTATCGCGTAGAGTATGTAGCAGAACTCACATGGGAACTTCAGCCACAACAAGAGAAGGTACCGAGACATTTTTCAATAGCCTTTCAACCAATGGCTTTGCTGGGACAGGCATCTCGGTTTGACCATCTATGCTATTGCATATTCCATCGTTGAACTGGTACCGCGACGGACCATCTTCAAAATTTTCACCGAAAAGTCTTATTGTATTAGAACGGTCTTCTGATCTGAGAAGTGGGCTATCGTTTCCTACATTTGACCTTGTCCAGTGAACACCACAATTTTGGCATCAACAGACATCTGAGGTGGAATAGGTATGTCTCCGTGGTTTCCGTGGAAGAAAAAATAGCGCAAGGATCCCTGTCCGTAGTTTGGATCCATCATGTTGTGTGATGCCAGATCCCAGTACCGTTTCAATGTGATTGTGTCAAAGCCAAAAGGAGGGGCTCACAACTGGTGAGAGCGGTGAGAAAGCCAGTGGGTTCCGCCGATCCCAGCCATTTCTGAGGACAAAATGTGAGACATCGAGCCAATTAGAGAAAACATCACTGGATCTCTCCGCATCATGATTTGTATAAGACTCAACGACGTATAACGGTAGGGACCGAAGGAGAGGATGAAGAGATTTGATTCCTAAGAGGGATGAGCTGCCCGACTATCTACAACATAGGGTTTAAAATTAACTGACACGTTTTGGTGGGGGGGTGTCTAGCTTGGGGGGTTGTCCAGCTCGGTAGTGAAATACGTTAGAGGCCTGATTTGTCTTCGGGCTTACAGAAGTAATAGGAAGCTAGCATGTGACCGTCACATGCTTCCAAAAATGAAGCTAGTGGCCAGTGTTGTAGGATGGAGATTACATGCGGACTACTCCGTAGTTATATGATCATTGAGGGCAGCCGGGATAACGTTTGATATTGCAGAGCTTCTCGGTAGTTGCACCCTGCCAAATCTAGACTGGGCTCCTAATCGGTACGCGGAATATAACCATCGATATGTCATAAATGATTGCTAGGAAACCACATTGAGCAAATGAACCATTAGTCATTTATGTGGCATGGACAACAAAAATCAAAAACATACAACAGTGAGGATTCGCTGGTGGTCACCCACCCAACTACTAACTCACCGGCGTGTGGCTTAAGTACGGCTGAGCGGACGGGAAGCCCTGTTTTCCACACCCTATGGTCGTATGTGACATTATAAAAATTGTCAGAGAAAATCATTCAGCACAGTCAAGAGTGAAATTCAGTGAGAAGGGCCCTGTGGAATCTTGATACGAACCAGTGAGTATGTATTAATGAAAGAAAAACGGACGGGTAGGAAAAAAAACATGGATCTTGAGTTTCATAGATGCTTGGGATAAAGAACAAAATCTCAATCATCCTCCAATCAGACTGTCGTTGATGTTTTCTTGCCAGGCCACAGAGGCACAAGTGGAAGTGAATTTATTTGTCGTGAATTGCTCCGGAAAATTAACACGAGTGCTATCCGTTATAAGTCCTGGGCAGATTCGCGGAATTCAACGCCTTGAAGATCCACCATTTCTGGTTGACCATCGGCTGGAAACGTAGCTAGCCTAAACCTGGGGTGGTTACGACCACGGCTGAGATCACTGGATCTTGTATATCCTGGGGCTGCCATTTCGACCTTCGTTACACAATGGAAGTGGCTTTAATGGTTTCAGAAGTTCGATTCCGTTTTGAAGTGAGTGATGATTGTACTCATCAGAACTCAACATCTGTGATAGAGATGTATTACAGTTTCTACTATGAAGTGTAGATGTGACTGGAAAATCTCTGTTGTGCGTTAAGTGAGAGAGAAACTATCTACAAGATGGGAAACTAAGTACTAGGAGCATGTGGTAGCATGTGAATATTCACATGCTTCCAACAATCTGACTTGAGGTGGTACCCACGTACATGGATCATTTTAGTGGTGCATTGCTGTTTGACTATGTAGTCATGGACTTTACATCCCAGCGAGTAAGGATCACCAGCGATAAATCGGAAGGTGGTCGTGTACGAGCAAACGAGCCCTGAACCAGGTCCCACCGAGTAGCTCCTTGGTTGGCAATGGTCGTCAGCAAGTTTGCAGGGTGATCTAGGTCTACCACAGTCGCAGCCGTAATACTCTGCACCAAAGTGCCCTCTTTGCCAAACGGCTTACATGATACATAATGTTTCGGTGGCACACACCCATCTATAAATGTCAAATTAAGACTCTCGCGACGACCTATGATAACTTTGGTCATGCTGTGTCCGTTAATAGAGCTCGACTCACTTTGGGATCTAGTTGCATAGTAGACGAAGGTGAGATGATTCTAATCTAGATGCTGACAGGTTCATTGCTTATCAAAACACTGGTCTAAACAATCAGAGGACTTTCCTTTTGGTTGGGGGACATATCTCACCGATTGTAGTATTAACCTCTTGTATATAGTCGAATCAACTCATTTATTTATATCAACGCGCAGAAGAGTTTGCCGTAGTAGAGAAACTTGCTGAACCCCTCCTCCCACTCTGTTGGTTCGCTCGCAGGGGAAAGAAAAGGGTTTGGATATTGACGAGGCCTGGGATATTTGGAGAGATGGATGCGAAGGTGGAGAGTAAGCCTCGTCGCAATTTCCGTGTTTCTCTTATTTCTCTTCTACTAAACAGCTTCGTTTGTATAATCTAGGTCCTCGGAGCAGGTCAGAGAGCGTCTAGACCGTCTCATTCAAAGGATAAATGATGTCCAGAGACCACACATTAGTGGGGGCATTGCTGCGGACGTCTTGATAGTAGTTGTATGTAATCATGCTCTCAAAACAGCAAAGTACTATCTATCAAAATCTGTATAGTGTAATCATTATTGAAAATGGTCTGGATCTTCCTCGTGTTCTCGTTCTTGATGTCAATCAGCCTTCGCCTTCGGGGTAGCACAACTCCTACGACATTCGGACTGGATATACCTATTTGATCTTTTTCGACTGCCGTGTTCCTTTTCATTCTAACTATTCCTCAAACTCCAAGCCGAGCATGAATTTGTATGCACCAACCCAATCACGTGGAAATCAACGTCTCAATCGCTCCAGTGTATGGCCCGAATCTCTGTGCTTGGATGGGACAATTGGGAGACGCTGTGTCTGTTCGAACATTGCCATTATCATCATTTTGGTCTGTTGTGGAATGGGTGGCTGCATAAGGGGTGAACTGGGGAAAATTCAAGGATATCATGGTGTCCACGGTGCCAGGGAAATAGTCGGGATATTGCATATCTGTCTCAACATCCATGGATCTCGGCAAGTAAAATTGCGGTGATATGGAAGATATTATTGTGTCAATCGAAGAAGGAAGAATGAATTGTGGAAACGCAGAAGGATGCACGCTCTTTATTGTTCCTGGCTCAGGTTGGACTGCCTGATTGACATCATGTGTGATTGTCTGTGACTGTCACCTCTCCCATGGTCCATGTTGACTGGAACGTGCCTGGCTGATTGCGACTGGTGTCAAATCGGCATGTTCTTTGATCTTGATGTAACACTGAGTAAGTTGTATTAATCGTAGTTGCTAGAAGGGACCCACCAGTTGAGTTGTCACAAAATCCGTGTGATTCGCCCAAGTACTCATTAGTACAGGAAGGTTGATGAACCCCGGGTATCAACGGCTCAACGGCTCGTTCAAATTCCCGCTAAATACCATTTGACTTCTATCTTCGGTGCTCGTTGGAATGGAACGATCGAGTCCGTTCGAAGGCAGATTTGGTTCTAGTTGGGTTGTGTTGGCTTTCGGTGGCTCATCCTTTTCTGCCTGTGCCTCAGATTGGTAGAGGGCGTCCCGCATGACCAGACAATCCGCTCTACAGTAAGATTCGAAATCAGACTGCAAGCTTTCTGACCACGCCGCAGCTTCTTTTACGGAATGTAAAGAAGACCGCAACGAGCGATGGTTATGTGCATAATCTCCAGGGCCGAGATGAGCATCTTTCGGTATGAGGAAATCGATGAGATGAGGCAATTCTTCAACTGCCAGCAACTAGAATTGATGGAATTCGCAAACAGCCACCACAAAAAATCGGCCTCCAGCGACCTCCTTTGGAGCAGAATACCCTAGGGCTTCCTCTATCAAGCGCTTTGTTGGCTACACTTTGATCCGTGTCGCAACAGCGAACATCTCTCAGATGTTGAGATATTTTACCTTTCCGTTTCTTGAATCTTTGTACTTCTGATCCACAGATTTGAGAGTAAAGTTGATCAACTCTGGAAGACCAGCCTCGTTCACGCTCCCATGCCGTAAATTCTCGAGCAAGTGAGACCTGACATAGTCCTTTCAAGAGTTTTTTTCCTTTTCGTTGGGGGTCTTGTTCCCATCAACTCGCTTGATGTGATCCAGGAGCATGTAGAAGCTTCCTCGGCCTTGATCATTGTCCAACAAGTCAAAGAGCGACACCGTATTTTGAGAAAATTCCACGTACTTTGGAAGGTGTATTTCTATAGCTTGCAATAGCTTAGCAAGCCGAGTCTCTATGTCTGGTTTCCTTTTGCGTTTTCTTGTATTGGCTTGAGCCGAGGCGTCGAGAACTTCAGGGTCAGCATCGTGGTTTCTTTCGGTCTCAGTAGTCCTTGGTATTTCATTCGGGTCGGCGGCAGCATACGACCGGTCCTCAAAAACTCTCACTGGGGAGTAGGAAGACTCTCCGGACTGGCGAGGAGAGTGGTTCTCGAGATTTTCATTGTCATAAAAAGGCAACGGCTCCGCTTGTATGTCGGAGCTTATTATCTTGTTATTGTGAGACTTGACGGCGAGAACGGATCTGACCTGCTCTAAAGTTTGCAGCGTGAGGTCGCGATGGGACTGGAGTATTTCCTTCGAAGAATTGAGAAGAACTCGCAAAGCCGATATTGTTTCAGCTTCAGAAACAGGCATTTTCATAAGAACGAAGGACCAAGTTGGGGGTTGGAGAGTGAGGCTCCACGAGGCTAACGATGAGAGAGAACACTAGTTTTGGAGAGTGAGAAGGGCAATAAGGGGGCACATGCTTAAAATAGCCAATGAACGCGTAGGCTGCTAGATTGCAATCTGACAAAGTACGCGTTCATTGGCCTCTGGCTTCGCAGGAACATATGCCTAGTCGTAGGTTTGAATTGATTGGCGACTACCCGGCCTTTCCTCACTTTAGTGCTTTTGCTTTGACTTCGGAGGCCTGAGACCGATCAAAAGAATAGTTATGAGAGGGTCAACCAAATATTTCCGATAGCTATTTACTCCACTCCCGATACGACGGGATGCAAAAGGGTTGAGCTCAATATTACGAGCCACACTCAAATTGTTTTGAAGAAATGAGAAGTCTACTAAATCTCTACCGGGCCTAGACCCTAATAGACAGCCATGCCTGGATGCTAGCCAAATTTCGAAATCAATTCCATTATTGTGTCGACGACCTGATTTGCACTCAACTCTACCCCTTACAATCTTTTGTAGCAAGCTCCTAGTGGCCTGAACCTTCCGCATCTGTGCCTCTAGAACACAAAAGAAACCGTAGCTTTTGATCAGTATGATCGCTGGCTCCCGGGAATTCAGTTTTGCTGCACTGGCGGTTTAAGCTCAGCTCAGCTCAGCTCATCTATATTAACATACCAGCTTCCCTAGATGCACGCCGCAGTTTATTACACACCAGCTGGGTTCATCTTTCTCAAATCATTTCTGTACGCTCCCTCCTATCATGTCTGGCGCATTATACCAGTATCCGGGTTGGTGCTGGAAAATCATTCTTAATATTATTTCCTACTGCCGAAAATTCATATTTTGGACCTCGGAAAGAGATATCGATGTTGAAAGCCCTACTGAGGTGTAATATTTGTCACTCTCTCTAATACTGTCGGTTATTACAACATACCGTGGGCAGTTCAACAAGCTTTATCGTGATCATCAGTTCCGGAACGCTTCACTGTATCACGCAGACTCTGATCTTAGAATAGAACTTGTTTTCTATAAAGATCAAGAGATTGTGACGACGACCCGCAGTCTAAGAAGCCCAGATCTTCGGAGATTAAGCCCGGGCTTGGGATACTTTGATGAATCGAACAGGTCGATGGTGGAATTTAGTCTTCAATTTTATGATTGGACTTTTATGCAGGATGTCCCTCGGGCTTGTGTAAAAGGTCGATCGGATTTTAAGTCTTCCGAGGTGCTATGATTCCTTTATTGGGCAATACCCGCATTTTCTATCTGCTTTCTGTATTTTCACTGGTCAAACAAAGATTAAAATCAACCATTTTGCCTCTGCTGAGTTCTCTGAATACAAATTCTAATATAAGAATGAACCAGAAGATGTTAGGTATTAGAGGTTTTTCTAATGATCCCTGTGGTTTTTGTGAGCATGAGGAATATTTAGTTTAGTATGCTAAAAGCCGCTGCAGCAGAGTAGCCCGCATATAGAGGTATCACTCTCCTTAAACCAAGCGGAACCCCTTTTGACCGTGATTTTTCATCCCAAATCTACCTCGCTGAAGGGATTTTTTGAAGGACTCGTTGAGTATCTCGATGCAGCTTGTCTCTGGTATGGCAAAAACGACGTCGAAATATGAAATGTGGCCACAGAATGATGTTGACTCAGAGGATGACGCTGAAACTCGTGGCCTTCAGTTCAAGGAAAATGAACAGGTCTACTTGAAGAGACAGAAGTGAAAAGGCTTGCAAAAAATTAGATTTGAGCCAACCCAAGGAAATATCATCAGCTTCGATTACAAAGATTACCGCATAGGTCTTTATCGTGAGGCAATGCCCGGGACCACCTTTTTCACAGAACAGTCCGAGGTCATCCATCTATTCTCGAGAAAAAGGAGCATTTTTCAAAGCTTTCTCAGTGAAGTTCGTGACCTACAAACATCGAAAGATCACTGGGTGCAATATTTTCGTGGCGAAACAGAGAAAGACGTTCCCTACTGGCATCTTATCGCCACAGAACCTCCTCGACTTCCCTCCACTTTGATCCTGAACGGAGAATCTCTGGCGGATATCGTGTCCGATATCAAAGAGTACCTAGATCCATCGACCAGGACTTTTTATAAAAGAATCGGCAAGCCTCACCGCCGCGGTTTCCTTTTATATGGTCCTCCTGGGGCGGGCAAATCAAATCTATGTGCAGTTTTGGCCGGCATGTTCTTTATGAACATTTACACCCTGAGTTTGAACAGTTCCAATGTCACGGAAAGTGGCCTAGTTAAGATCTTCAGAGATCTCCTGATTACGCTATGATCGTCCTCGAGGATATCGACCGGGCCTGGGGCTCCGTAGAGCAATCCAAAACCGACACTTCATCAGTAACGGGGTCACAAGCACGTACCGGTATCTCTCTCTCTGCCCTCTTGAATGTGCTCGATGGGCACGGTGCAAAGGAGAAGCGTGTTCTCTTTATGACTACTAACCATCGGGAAAATTTGGATTCTGCTCTGACGCGACCCGGTCGAATTGACCAAACATTCTACCTTGGCTACGCAACAGCAACGATGATCGAAGAATTATTCTCCTTATTCTACGAGCCACTTGGGGTTGACAAGGACGAAATTTCAAGGTTGGCAGGCAGGTTCGCCAGTGAGGTGCCCAGCGAGATCTTCACAGCGGCCACAATCCAAATTTTTTTGTTGAAGTATAAAAATGCCCCGGAGATGGCCGTTTCTAGTGCAGCCGATTGGGTGAAGAAGAACCACACAGACATTGTATGAGTTGGAAAACTGGGGATATCAAATTGTGGTTAGCGTATCTTTCACTCTTGCTGAGAGTGCCACTAGACCAAAATGGGCAGCACAGTGTCTGTTGCTTATAGCAGATTTTGTTTAATTCTCATGCTTTTGCGTTGTTGTTTTTTTCTTTTTCTTTTTTTTTTGACTGAAGATAAGACTCTTCTGTTCTGCTTTATTGCTACAATTATGTGCCTGACAGCGGCTCGTCTCTTATCTAAACTCCGAAGTCTTCTTATCTAAGGCGGTCGCCAGTGTCAGGCCGAAACCTGACCCACCCTCAGCGAGTCAGTTTCCCCTCCAGAGATCCTTGCCAGATGCCTTCCAGACGGACCACTTTACTGATTTCCGACAGAAGGGAAGATCCCAAAGGACTTGAAGCAAACTGATGGGTGAAAGAGATAAACTGAACTCCTAGGATGGATTCTTCGCTTCCTCAACTAATAAAACATGAAGGGTAAGAACATATAGTCCTGGCCCGACGGCAATACTGACCGCCTCCCGGAGGCGGTCATTTAACTCTGTCCTAATTGCTATTTCATACATGATGATGAAAAGGACTATTCCCCCTAAAAAAATCTTTCCTTCCGACAGCCAGCAGATGCCACTATCAGACCTAGAGGTCGTACTATGAGACCGAATAGTAAAGGGAAAGCACACGGAAATGGAGAATCCAAATAGTGTGTCCACGGTAGTCGTTATAGAATTATTTCCAGCAGACCAAATGGAACAAAAAGCGATTAGTGCCATTTGGTTCTTCCACCACGTTTGTTCAAGTCGTCAGTCAACATTGACATGCGCATGGATCAAGAACTGTTAATTACACTTGAATACTGGACCAAACCTTTTCCCTCGAAATTTATGGTCTCCGGGAGTTTTCCAAGACCCTTGCCAGAGCACATCGAAGAAGAGATATAGAATCGCCAAACTTCAACAATAGAAACAAGTCTTTTTATCGAAACTGAACACAGGCCATGTCCGAAGCCTGTTGTCTTTATTAATGTTGTTACCACGTTTATCTACAGAGCTCGAAGCTGTATGTAAAATAGGCCTCATTTCTTGCCTTTCTGTTGTCTCGTTACGATTCATTATTGCTGGCTGGTTAGGGCATCCTTGGGAGCCAGAAGACCGCTAGAAGCAACGGAGTTTCCTATCGATAGTTCACATAGTTAATTTCAACTCGAGGATTCCGTATAAGTATTTAGATTGCTCTATAGTCGCCAATTTCTATCGCTAGGTATAGTGGCGTTTAGCTATAATGGTCGTAGATATTAACATTTATTCGCTTATTATATGAGAGAAGTTAGAAGATATAAGTTTAGCGATAGGTCAGCGCAACTAAAATAGGCGTAATTCCCTCTAGTGATTGGTTATTAAGATCAATGTTCTATATATTAAGGAGTCGTTCGATAATTCTAACGCTTCTGTATAGAATAGCGATCGAGAAGGCACTTTCTCCTAAAGCATTGCGCTGTATAACATTCACTAAATGATAGCTTAAGAGGAAATTAATAGCGTCTACGTACCGCAACTTTATAGCTAATATAAGCGGTGTAAGGCTAGAAAACCTTCGGTTATTATCTACCTTTTCCTAACCTAGAAAGAGTTAGACGATGCCTAAGCTTCTATATTCGATTGCCTAATAAATTGGCGGGGTGTCTTAAAAGTCTATACAATCAATAAGGCTCTTCCTAAAGACGACGTAGGATTCCCAAGATATGAGACATAGACTTCGAAGGTCTTTCTTATCGATAGACTTACCAATCTATAGAAGTAATTCTAGTAGAAGTCCTAAAAGCGGATGTAGCTCTAGTCGAAAGAACTCCTGGTTTTTGGTTTCATGTTAGAGACATTACAATCGAGATACTCCTACGATGTCTTCTCTTGAAGTCCTCTCAGTTGAACGTATTTGGCTCCTTGAATGCCTGTTTGAAAACAACTAACCGCGAAGCCTATATTGAGGCGAAAATTTTGTTGGAGCTTCTGTTCTCCTAGGTTGGGTAAGGACAACTTTCCGCGGCCTTGTCGCCGAAAATTCTCACACCGTTCGGCAAGACTCCCCATACTGGGTACACCTAAGTTCATCATAAAGTACTGGCTTCGTTGTTCTTAATCTACCGAATTATGCAATGTGAGGTGAGATAGCATTTGCCTGTAGCTGCTAAACCATCTCGGCCGAGAAGCCAATGGTGGCCACGGTGCATGTGAATCAGGTTTTTGGTTTCATTGCCTGTGTGCCTAGGGCATATTGATGGGAGCAAAAGCTCATTTCTGTATATAGAAGAATAAATTTGCCGTATTTGATCTCGGTAGGCTTGGTCTCACCCAACGAATTATGTTCAAGGAACTCTTACCTTTTTGTTGACTGGGTCCATGCGAATGCACAGTTCTAGCGTTCGCGCAGATTATTCTTTGACATATTCTTATACGCTTCGCGAGAAGATGTCGCCAGGGGTGGCTCTTTGCTGACAAACATAACTAAAATTCACTTCACAATAGGCATTCAGGTGTTTCAAATCATTTTTCAAGGCCAAGTAGTGTAGTGTTGTAGTTGTTCTTTTCCAAATTGAGGGCATTGGGATGTCAACAAAATGAAAAATAGTCTGATAGTCAATACGCCTTCCTATAGACGTACCTACCATCCTATATTTTCGCCCTCTATCTTATTTCGTTTCCTCTGATGCTATTCTTCTCCTGTTGTCTTCGCGTTTCCAGACAACATAATACAGCTCCCTTCTAGTTTTCTTTTTTTTTCTTGTTTGAATATGCAGGGGTTCACTCTTGCCTTCGTAATTTTGGTTTTACAATTGGATTCCACGTTGGCACATGGCTTCCCCTTGGCAAGGAGTGGCTACGCCACCGATACCCCTACCTGTGGCCCTCCCAAAATTACGACAACTATAGAGCCATTTGCTATGATAGATTGTCAAACTGACGCAGGAACGAAGAAAATTCTGATGACCTTGAGACATCACAAAAGCGTGAATGGCCGGGATATTTTCACCTCTCGGGCAGGAAACCCGGGGATTCCTGACCCGAACGAATGATAACGTCGAAACCAGTGGTACACTACATGGTTGAAAACAGGGTGGGTAGAATATCCGGAAAATCCACGGACCGCCATGATGGTGTGACCCACACAAATTTGATTAGTCATCATCGTCCGCCCAGATTGGAAAGAGAGCGGATTTTGTTATTTTAGTTAGTGAGAGAACTCGGGGAGTTTTTTTATGCCCTATCTATTGGTAGTTCCTTACAGTATTGAAAACCATAGATTCCCGTCAGATAATCCTAAATAACAAGCACGGAGGGTCCAGTGCTAGTTAGTGATCACGTGTTAGACCTGCGAAAGAAAAAGTCGATCCGCCCTTATCTTGTTATCGCGTCTCTTACTAGAACCCTCGACCTTTACTATTCTCGCGCCTGTCACAACTGGTTCCTTACCAGCCGATCTGCCTTTATATACCTGACCCTCAACCTGTCATTGAAAAATTATGGATCACTCACGCGATCCATGCCCCTGGGTTGCTCTGAGCGACTTTGGCGGTGCTTTCTGCATGGGCGCCATCGGAGGTGCCGTCTGGCACGGTGTCAAGGGATTCCGCAACAGTCCCTACGGCGAACGCCGGATAGGTGCTCTCACAGCTATCAAGGCGCGCGCCCCCGTCCTCGGTGGTAACTTCGGCTGTTGGGGTGGACTTTTCAGTATATACGACTGTTCAATCAAGGGAATTCGCAAGAAGGAAGATCCATACAATGCTATTATCGCTGGTTTCTTTACCGGTGGTTCCCTCGCTATCCGTGGTGGTTACAAGGCCGCCCGAAACTCTGCTATTATGTGTGCTGTCTTCCTTGCTGTGATTGAGGGTGTCGGTATTGGTTTCCAGCGCATGATGGCTGATAATACGAAGCTCGAGGTAGATGAACACTTTACTTTTAAATTTAATCATTTGGGGGAGTCAAGATATATTTGCTAACCACGAATATTTAACAGCTTCCTCCCCCTCCCCCATCCGAGCACAAGGCTTTGGCTTAATTCTCTCTCTCTATTTACCAACACGATCGCCCTCGGTTCATCCCCCCTTCCATCTCTTTCACAACGACATCCGCATATTGATTTACTCTTTTTTAGCGTTTGACTGTTCATCTTTTTTTGTTCATCATTTTCAAACGACATAACATAAAGGATCCTGCTTTCGTTACTTGCTTTAATACCGCATCCCGCAGCCTGTGTTTTGGACCATACTACTTGGAATGCCTTTTTTGGGCTGGCACCAAGGCCGGCGTGTCTCTTTTTGTGGCTAGGTGGTTGAATAAAAGAATCTCCACTACAAGCCCTGCAACAAATGCGTTGAAGACGGGACTATTTCAAAATTTTGGCATTAATGCACATCTAAAAAGCATGTGATACGTTTCTTCTGTTTATATTGATATTTCGGCTTGGAGCCCTGCATCGAGAACATGTCGAGTTCGATTAGGAACTATGATTTTCCATCAACTCGGAAGTACTGATGAAGCTAAAACTAACTAGAGCTACGATTTTTTTCAGGCAAAAGAAATCTCCAATGAAGAAAATTTCCATCAAACGCCTTTTACACAAACAGCGCTTGTGTGCAAGATCTCAAGATCTCAAAATTAAGCCATAGTGTAATTCCAGCCGTAGGAAAGATCCTCACATTGGTATTGGTATTGATACGTGTCGTAACTCTTGCATACCAGATATACGTAATTTTGGAAAGATGAAGTAAACACCCATTGAGTCGTCCAGCTCGGTCTCTCCTCCCCACAGACCAGCCAACAATAACTCAATTCTTCGGTGTTGGAAATTCCGAGAGCCCTTCAATGTGATCCTTCAACTTATTCCCACGCAAAACAGCCGAGCTAGATTTTGCTATCAGCGTAGTCCAAAAAGCATCGCAAGCTTCTCGAGTCCGATCCACTTGATGTGCAACCAACAAGAAGATCGCAAAAATCCCCACTGTGAGCGGCGAAGATAGCCGAGAATAGCGTCTGTGAGCTGTTAGTGTTGCAGATGTCATTTGTGACCAGCTTTCTCGGCAAGAACACCACAGTCACGACGGCGAAGACAATAATGGCTTTTACTTGGTCTTTTTGTCGAACGTCAACCACGCCACGCGTTCGATTGGCCAGTGAGTCGAGCTTTTTTTTTAGTGAGACTGCTCGAAACTTGGCGTTGACCTGGCTGATGAGCTTATTTAACCGTGCTTCCTCTAGCTCGAATGAGGAAATACGGGGCTCGGGGGTTATGCAGAACGAATGTGGGTTTATGACACTGAGATGTTTCGTCGGATCCCTCCTTACTATCGCCCGGCTCTAGACAAGTCTTTAGTCGCATCTGGTGCAAAATAAGTACATACGACCATAGGGTGTGGAAAACAGGGCTTCCCGTCCGCTCAGCCGTACTTAAGCCACACGCCGGTGAGTTAGTAGTTGGGTGGGTGACCACCAGCGAATCCTCACTGTTGTATGTTTTTTCTTTTTGGTTTTTCTTTTTGGTTTTTCTTTTTGGTCTTCATTTTAATAAAATCTCACACTATTAATTGTAATCACATATAGGAAATGGATGGTGTTATCATGCTCCCAGTAAAATAATTCTCGCTCACCTCACTAAAATCGAGAATCTATCCGGTAGTGCTCAAGGTCGACTATCCCTCTACTAAAGACTCATGCCCATTGCCAAGCAGACGTAGGACAGTGGTATTAAAAAGAAGGCTAGTATGATAAGTCTAGAATAGGGCAGTTCTAATTCTCTCATGTTAGTTTGATATCATACCTCTTTACTGTTTTTGCCTGTTCGATGACTGCCCCAATTTCTTTGATTTGAAGAGTTGTCAACGCTCTGGGTTTCAGAGAGAAGATTGCTCATCTGCAATCGTACATGAGAATACTTCTCCATCGTCTGATCTAATGTTCGAACAGAGTCGAAGTTGCTCGTGGCTGATCCTATCTTCGCCGCATGCAAATCAAGTTTCAATCGTTGGCATTCACTATCCAGTGAGGAGATGTAGCGGAGAATAGCACTCTTCATTCCTTCTTCGTCAATTGGTCCATCAGCTGTGTGATTTTCCTCGTCCGAATTCTCTGTGTCTTCGTTTTGTAGTGCGCGTCGATTGGATAAATTTTGAAGACTGAGATCTTCAAGCTGAGCTTGCAATGTCTGCAGGCGATCAAACCATGCATTCAGAGCATAGGATCTTAGAATTTGCATAGTATCAGTGCAGCGGCAATCGCCTTTCTTGGTACTTTTTGTTTGACCTCTTCCGCTTTGTTTCTGTTGATCTCAAATGGACCACGCTTCATTTTGGTCCCCATATTGTTTTATGTCTCCCATGCGACATTTAGGTTATCTCAGTTATCCAGATCTGTTAAACCTATAATCCAAACCGAAGTTACTTCATAGTATTTGTCTATTGCTGTTTCCTCTGTACATAGCGGAAGATGTAGACTTTTCAGTAAGGAATTTTGACGGGAATCTAAGAGAAGAGAGAGAAAAATTCTATTGTAATGAAACAGCTAATTGCTAAGGGGAAAAGAAGGAGAGAGAGGAAACTATTCAGATGCCATTTATTAAAATCAACTTCAATGAGTTAAGAGATTTGAAACACTTGACTCGATGTTCATATTCGATAGTCCACAGACCTTAAATTCTGCTTAGTAGCGCCAGTGTCTGTCGATCGATCAATGGCATTACTGAACGAAGTCCCGTTTTAAACATCAAACTCAGCATCTCGCTCGGTTCGATCGATCTATTAACTCCTTAGGTCTGGTCTTCCGAGACCCACGAAGGCGAGATAACCCTTTTAGGCAAGAATCGAAAGTCGACTTGATCGATGAAGTAGCGCCAACCCAGAAATCGGAAATTCTGCTGCGGTGAAGTAAAAAAAAAATTGCAAATTGCGAAAATCTAGTTGGGTCAAGCTTCTTTAAGTATGGCATGCATTTTCAACGTCGAGTGCTAAGTCTTTAGACACCAGAAGACTGCGATTGTCTGTGATCATGGTTTGATTTTGGCAGATCGAGCTTCACACTCACCACCCAGTAACCTTTTGCAACTTTTTCATGACACAGCATGGTCTATTGGGGACATTTTGTTTCGCTATGAACTTCAGGAAGCAGTAAAGCTCTAATCAACGGTCAAAAAAAATTGGCCCCAGGTGAGGTGTACCAAAGTATCACGGGAGTTCTAGGTGGGCCTAGATATTGCTTAGGTAATAACAAATGCCAAGACCCCAAGTTTTCAGCCGAGCCGGCAGCCCTAAGTGGACCTTGAAACCCGATCCAGTTCCCAATGGGAAAAAAAATGAAGGCAAAAAAGAAATCTCAGGTCTTGTTAATAGGAATAGCCGAACGCGGGGGTCGAACCCGCAGCCTTAAGATTAAGAGTCTTACGCTCTACCGATTGAGCTAGCCCGGCTGGGCTGTTGAAGCGTGATGGTTTTCAAATTACTTGGCCCAAATGTTGCTTGGAAAAAAAACAAAGTGCTGATTTGCCAGCATAGGTGTCGAACATGGGAAATTGGCAAAATTTTGTCTGCCTCTTTGCTATGCAAAAAATACCGCTCATTTGTCTTCTAGCATCACTATTAGTTGCTTGAGTAATCACATGAGAGCATGTGTAGTCGACAATCAAGCTGGTGCTTAGAAGCCTACCTGAGTGTACATATATAGTACAACCCTGACATGTCATCATTTTATCTGGAACATCCACGGATACAAAATGTAGTTTGTGACAAGCAACAACAGAAAGGAGTCATAGAAGAACAATCGTTTACTATCAGGATAAAATGATGCTCTCGTGGTCCAAAGCCCCCATACCTAGTCGCCACCACCTTTACTTTCACCAGGGCGAATCGAATACCAAAAAAATCAACATTCGTAAAAAAAACCCCCGAGATGCAAAGAGAGAAGGGATGTAGATAATAGGCTTTATAGCGGACAGAAAGAAACAAGTGCTTGACAACCAGCGTTGTAACACTCTAGTAAATGAAGCGTTTAGCAGTCAACTCCGAAGGAAGACTCCCAGCTTCCATGCCCCTTTCAACCATACCTACAAGAATGGGATCGGACCCTAATACCAATATTAACTCATAGCGGGTGCCCAGACCAAGGAGAGCATATGTAGCGGTCCTAGACCGATACCCCAGCCAGCAATGGCTCTTCTCGCTCTGTTACTACAGAGTTGTGAGTTGTACAACATATGGGATATGACCAACTTTAAAAACGGTGAGTAAGGCTTCAAGAGTATTCTTGAGGGTAATTCCTGCATTTGGTCGTCAGCTCAGGTCCTCGCTTCATTGGCGAAATGTCCAGTGACGCACAGCCCACCAAGAAGGAAGAATAGATTGAGTAGGGCATTTCAAAAGATACTGACTGGGATGACCATGAATGAGGTTTAAGTCTTTTTTGTTGTCCTAGAAGATTTTCCCAAGAACCCAGTGCCGGTAAATCCCAGAGCGACGCTAATACATATATGCTACCTGGGCTTGGACTACTATGGCAACCATGATTCCCATTCCTGGCTGTATTTCTACCCAGATGCCTAGGTACACGTAGCCAATTATTAATTTTCTAGCCATGACACCGCGAACCAAAAAATGCCCGACGAAAAAGTCACCTAAACAGACGGTTAAAAAGATATCTATAGACGAATGCCGTTGATAATGTAGGTTCCTTCAATCATCCCCAGAGCTTAAATTTCAGACAAGTCTGCGTAAATCAAAATTTCCAGATATCTGGTTTCCAAGTCCGCCGTATGCAAGTTGCTGAAAGTAACAAAAATCAAGTCATCGAAGTTGGCTTATCAAGCTCAGTAGCATCCTCAGTTCTCCAAAGCGACGTGACTGTCTTCCACTGCGTATAGAATCGAATACCGTCCTTGCCATAGAAGTTAAGCATTCCTGTTCCAGCGACACTTCGCTTGTTACCAGTGAAGGAAAACATGGGAAGGGGCACGGGAATGGGAACGTTAATTCCAACCTGACCAGATTCAACGCGCTTCTGGAAGTGTATCGCACTAGATCCAGACTGAGTGAAGATAACTGCGCCATTCCCCCATTCGTTGCTATTGATTAGGTCAATTGCGCCGTTGATTGTGTCGGCTTCCATGCAGAGCAACACCGGGCCGAATATCTCCTCTTGATAGCATCTCATCTCGGGGTTCACTCCGGTGATAATAGTTGGTCCGACCTAATGGATTGATCGGTTAGCGGGATGGTTCATGGGAATTGAATCGAGAGCGGGAACTTGGGACTTCCATACCCAGTTTCCATTGGGAAAACCCTCGGGTGTCTGGTCCCGACCATCCAAGGCGACAGTAGCACCCTCCTTCTCTGCACTGGTGATGAGGTCTACACAGCGATCCCGGCTCTGGGGTGTAATCAATGGACCTAGATCAGATCGTGCATTGAACCCACTTCCAGCCTGGTATCCCTTGGCATTCTCAATCAATTCAGAGAGCCATTCGCGCGCCCTACCGACTGTTATCAAGACACTCAGCGCCATGCAGCGCTGACCAGCCGCTCCAAACGCAGCACCGGCGATAGCATTCAAAGCATGCTTCCTATTACTATCCGGCAGAAGCGCTGCATGATTCTTGGCACCCAGGTTCGCTTGTACCCGCTTCCCGTTTGCAGTGCCTCGTTCATAGATATATTCGCCAACCTTGTTCGATCCAACGAACGAAATGGCCTTTATCTCCGGTGCGTCCAAGATAAATTCCACAGCAGATTTCGAACCATGGATGACATTCACAACACCCGGTGGAAACCCCGCTTTCTTGCAGAGCTCAGCAATGATCATAGAAGCACCGGGTGCGCGCTCAGTCGGCTTCAGAATCAGGCAGTTACCAGTCACGATGGCAATTGGAAGACTCCAAAGAGGGATCATGGCGGGGAAATTAAATGGGCAGATGGCTGCGACAACTCCGAGAGGAAGACGGTAGGAACGAGTTTCCATATCCTTGGCTACCTCGAGGACCTCGCCGGGAAGCTGGGTGGTGATTCCGCACGCAGTTTCACAGACTTGTAGCCCGCGGAGGACATCACCCTTTGCATCGGCGAGAGTCTTGCCTTGTTCTGTGACGATGGAAATCGCAAGGGAATCCATGTTTTCGCGGACCAAGTTGGTCAGCTTGAAGATCATTTCCTGTCGCTTCATGATGCTGGTGTCTCGCCATGCGGGGAATGCGGTTTGAGCTGAGACTACTGCGGCTTTGCACTCGTCGAGGGTTGTTTCGGGGACTCGAGAGACTACATTGTTTGTTGCGGGGTCGTGGACTTCGATCCATGCTGTTGTTTTAGAGGCAGTGAATTCATTGTCGATGAAGTTTTGGGTGTCATGGATGATATCTGGCTTATGGTGGTCGCCTTTATAGTTTAAAGTAAGGAGGTGAGTTTGAGCCATCGTGGCGAGTCAAGAGGAACTTTGGAGGTGCATGTCCCAGGACATGGGGGCTATTTATCTAAATGGGGGCGGGGAAAAGCCCGCGATTGTAATGTAACAACATGATATTAGCCCCGCAGTTAATACATGCAAGTGTACATTCCGATATTTCGAATTGATTGAGGATTATCGGACTTTAAAGAGTCCTTAATTACCGTGATGTGTCTCGAAAGCATTTGCCAAGATGGTTCCCCTAGCTATCTAGGATATTTAGATGGCCAATGTGATCTGAACGGTTTGGATAATCGTGAATTTGTAGAGAGACCTAGGTATATTCTTGGCGATTGTGGCATTTTACCCCTTTCCAAAGATAACTAACTCTTGGAGTGGGATAGTGGTATACCCCCGACTTGAAGCTCATCGACCTCGTTCGATAGAATCCAAATATACATCATACATGTCCTCAGAAGTGGAAAATCAACCACGTTTGAATTATCTAGACGAAGTTTTGTACAAACGGGTGTGAGGATATGTTACATGGTTATCATTGAATTAAGCTAAAAGCAGAAAAAAAAAAGCTAAACAGCATCTATATGATGTCTATGCTCATGTTCAAATGACACGAGACCAGAACAAAACAAATCATACACTGAAATCATGATCATGAGTCACTCGCATGGATAATACACAGCTCCTTCGCATGCCAAATGCGTCGTCGTCGTACGACATCCGCACCGAAGGTATCCATGCTACCATCATCGTTGTAGCGAGCAGCGGAATCACCGTCATCGTCGAAAGACGGACGTAGGAGTCGGGCTTCCTCGACGCTTGCGCCGAATTCGTATTCACCGCGGCAAAGGGCCGTGACACCAATGGAGGCGTTGGTGGACTCGCCGCTGGCCAGGACGGGGAGTGCTTGTTGCAGCATCCCGGTCCACACGAGACGACGGGTTAGATCTAGGGCGATGTTGTTTGGTTGGTGGCAGAGACTGGGTTGAAGACGGAGGAGGGGATGAATGGGGCGGGAGGAGCGGTTGTGAATGGTGACGTTTAAGGTGAGGAGGTCGTCTGTCTTGACGCAGAAGCGTGAGCGGCCCATTTGTTTGACAGCGTCGGAGGTCTCAGGTGAAGATGATGGCGAGGTCAGAGAGAATTTCACATCGATGTCTTCGAGGCGCATGGATTCGATCATACGGTTGTTCAGTCGGACATTTCGAAGGTCAATAGATCCCTCGCGACCTGTGGTGGGTTCCTTCCAGCCTCCGAGGACTCTCTTGAGGAGCTCTTCCCGGAACCAGAAGGCCTCACGCGAGGCCGCCTCGGCTTCGAAGGATACTTTATTGGCGCTGACGACAAATTGTCTTCGAATGCCGGTGTTGATGACGGGGATGGAGGCAAGAGGATTGTCTACGTAGACGCGAGGCAAGACCAGAACAAACCGACAAACCTGCCCGGGTTGGAGGTCTCCGTCGACAGAGTACTTACCTTCAAGATCATCCGATGGTGTCGCATCCAGCGGGATAGTTGCTGTTACTTGCTCACTTACGCGCAGCCACACCGACAGAGGACTCGGCCAGGCATTGCGCAGGTCAAGCAATACGACACAGTGATCAGGTCCATAAGCTCCATTGCCGAGACGCCCAAGGACTTGCGAGAAGGGGTCATTGTAAGTAGCGGAGAGCATATCCAGCTTTTCTATTGGGTCAACAGGTGGTTTGATCTGGTTTTTCCAGGCGAAGTCACCGCTGAACGGAAGAATGTCGCAGCGGGCGACCTCCACGCTCGCATTGACCGTGACTGTCAACGGCACAAACAATTGTCGGGTATAGAAAATATCAGGCAATTCACCTGGGGCTGCCCCAATGCAGGAGTAGTCGATCTGGACTGTTGTGTCCTGCAACCCAGGCTTTCCGAGAACGTCAACTGTAAAGCTTGCCTTCTGGTGTGCCGCAATCGAACAGTCACCAGGGTCCCCGCCCTCACGGCGCCATCGCAAAGCGGGCTTGGTTACTAATTTGAGCTCCAGCTCGTATATCTCGACCGGCAATAGATCTCTATTGTCCAGTGCAGACTGTAGCTGTTTGGTGGTTGAATCTTGAAAGGTAAATAGAACAAAGTCCACGGGGCACGAAGAGGCATTTCGAAGTGTAATGGTGAAGGTTTTAACTTCCCCTTCAAGGACCATCATCGCCGATTGCGATAAAGACATGGATTCGATGACAACTGAGGGTTGTTTGGCGATGACTTTGACTTCATATATTGATGTTTCGGGACCTTTTTTGGCATCAACCTTGCCATCCTTGGAGGTCGTTGAGCTCCAGGAAAGCGGACGCTCGGTAAGAGGCTTCTTTGCCCCCAGGCCTGTGCGCTTAAACTTGACCTCAGGCTCAGGTTTCCAAAATGTCTTGAAGATGGGGAATCTTCGCGTTCGACAGTACCGTACTTTCACGATACATCCCGTGATCTGAAGGCTGCCTTTTCCATGGGCAACACCAAAAACAGTAACATCCTGCACAGAGAGGGGAGCTATGACAAAATTCTCTGCCACTGCATCAAAAGATACACCGCTGCCCTCTAAGCGCAGATGTTCAATCTCGATCTCAAATTCGTATGGATTTTGCAGAGTAACTTGGAACGGCGCAGGTTCATCAGCAACAGTGAGCATTTCTAATGCTTTACTCGTAGGCTTTGCAAAGGGGTTGTACAAGAACGGATCTTTTTTCACCTTGTCCAAACTTGTGGTAACCGCATCCAATTCCGATTTCGACCGCCGAACAGGCTTTTTTGGATCTGCCAGGGACAATAACTGGACATCACGTACTAGGAAGTCATCCCAGTACTCTGCAGCCATATCGGAAACTCCTAGTCTGGTGCCTGCATTCACTGTGCGCTTAATGTTGTTCAAAAGACGAACTTGTTCGTCTTGGGGTAGATACGGTGGGGACCTGTACGCTCCACCCAGCATCATATCTCCCCGAATAGTCTGTAAAAGCTCGACAGTGAAACGGAGGACTCCATTAAAGTCCGGAAGGGCTTCGCAGCAGTTAATGCATGCTTTCAAGACATCAATTTTCAAGTTCAGATCACCGTAACGATCAAGAACTACATGTCGGAATGCCCGCTCGGCAATACTAGCAACCGAGTCATATTCAGCGCTTTCCTGAAGCCTGCTCACAACAGACGATTTTCTTTGTCTCTTCTCCCATTCGTAGAACGATGAAGGTTGAACACCGTATATTTCTCCAATGGTCGAAAGAAGGAGACGCACACTTGACTCCATGTTTCCGGGCCCTGCGTCCAGGGAATTGATATCAAATGCGGTGCCGCTGAGAGATGCCAACCCGGCGGCAGGATGGATGCCCACTTCCGCGGCACCAATTTTGCGTGCTTTCACTAGACTTGGCACCATTACCGATAGAAGCTCACGCATAATAAAAGCTTTCTTTCTAGGCAGATCCAGAATGTCAAGAACAGCAGCAACACCCACGATGATGGGAACAGCATCCGTTGCAGGTAGGTCCGCACCAGGGGAAAGAGGCAGAGCCCGGTATAAGAAATTAGCTATTTCGGATTTTCGGAGCAAAACAGTCCCCCGAGGAAGCTCCAGCTGTACCAATGGAACCAAGTGTTCATTCATCACGATGTGTTTCAAAGCATTGTCATCCAAAGCTCCATCGCGAACGCGAGCTGAAACCATCAGTCGCGCTAATCGAATGACTGTCTCCGAGAAAACCAGCTGCGGAAGAGGCTCATCTGTAATATTGGCGGCGCGGGTATAAAGATTTAGGATGTTGTTTGAAAGATCTGGCAGGAGATTGGCCAAGTTGCATAGAGAGATAATCCTATTCCCAGCGCTACTAGGGGTCGTTGAGTCGCGGGAAGGTTTGGAAGACTTATCCGCAACAGGATACAATGCTGATGGAATCTAGCAAACAAGTAAGTGATCCGGCACAGGCACCAGCGTAGTTCATGGCGTTGTTAGACATTTACTTACCTGAAAGTCCATGCCTGCCCACCCAAACATCAACAAGCAAAGAAGAATTGTTTCCAGCGCTTTAGCGTGCCAGATGTAGTCGCTGCTTGCTCGGGCATTATTCACTGCTTCGGTCAATTCCTTGAGAGCATCGGGCCACCTTCCCGCCTGCAGGAAAAGAGTTCCAATGATCACCCCGGCACGACCCTTGATCCGGTTTTTAGTTCTGTCAGTAGCAGTCATGGCACTGACAGACATCCGATCGCGGCTATGCTCCTTCGTAGATGTTGTTGAAGGTGCTCTGCTGCGCGAGTTCGTACGACTGGATAAGTGAATTGCCCGAGTGATCTCGTCAAAGGTTGTAGGAGTCTCATAATCGCTGGGGCCTGGGGAGCCGGCGTTCGAGCTCAATGGGGCACCATACCTTGTATCGTATGGAATCGATGGTAGCTGTGCGGGCAGAGTCATACGATTTAAAAGTCGGTCTACGGGCCGTGGCCGTAGTTCTGGGTTCCGGTGCGGGCCCCATGAAGATGCTTTAGGAGACTCGATTGACGGTATGGTTTGGATGGTCTTTGCAAATCCATCCAATTCGGAGAGTAACACAGATGTAATATCGCATAGAACTGTTTTCATTGTCGTGGCCTTGGAGACCTGGGGCGGAGGGACCCAAAGAACATTGTCCGGTCCATTCGTGATCTTATCCAAGCCATGGTGATCAAAAACCAGGAGTTGGTTTACCAATGCGCGCGGGTTCCTATCCCTCACCTCATTGAGCTCTTCCAATAATTGATCCAGCCCCTCGGGAGTGGGGTGCTTCTGCTCGTCGCCAGTGCTTTCGGGTAGTTCAGACCCATCTGCGATTGCAATAATCACCAATGGTTCCCTGTATAGTTCAAAGGGAAATAGCTCGAGGTGAGAGGTTGGGGGGACCGAGAAAGAAAGGTCATAAAGAATCAACCCAGTAGGAAATGCCAGCGGCGAGAACATGTCTAGACAACAGCAGGTCAGTATATATGGTAGCAATATCGACAATTTTCTCGCGTTCATGAGTAAGGCCTACTTCTGTTCGGTCGCACATCGGGACTTATATCCCCTAGTCGAACTACATTTTCAGCTTGTAGTCGGGCAGCGAAGCTCAAAAAGCGCGAGCGCTTGATCTTGCCGATGGGAAGGAGGAGCGCCCTGAGGCGCACGGGCGCAATTGGGGACAGAGGGTCAACACCCATCCTGTCAGTTGAGAGCGATTTATTATATTAAGCCCACATCCGCACAATTAATAAGGCAAGCTTCCGGGCGTCATGCGATAGGGGAGATTGCGAGAGACTGGACAAGAAGCGGGTCCGGGGTCCCCTATGAATGTGTACACACGGACATGATGCTCATGACAAAGGCGGAAAGTGACGGCAATTGAACGATAAGATAAGCCCGACGTGAACTCCGCAGTCTCCAAAACTCTCCAACTCTCTGCTCTCACTGAATCATCTTCCTTTGTTTTGTCGTTTCTTTGTCTTTTTTGAAATTGAACATCTAATCAGCGTTCTATCGAATCTTTCTCTCGCAGCCCTAATCGCGCCGTTTGCGATCTATGCAAACAGTGCGCGCGATTCCGGAATCTCCACGGCTGCCTAGACAACCTCTTGTTTGTCAATACTCATCTGCTTTCATAAAGAAGTGTAGATTAACTTCGGCACCTGAATAAGATAGAAGGCTTGGAAATAATCAGAAAGAAGGAATACACACACACAAGATGGCTTTGAATGTGGATTTCAACGCGTTGAAGGCGCGGACCATGGGGTCTGGGGCCGATGAGGAAGCCGTGACAGTCGATACAAGAGGATTGATCTCTAAAGTGCTTGCTCGATATTCCGGGAAATGGTAAACACTGGTTGTTTATCTGTCTTGAGATCCGAATATTAACCTACTTGTCGTGACCAGGACGGTCCTCCGAGAGATGATCCAAAATGCCGCCGATGCCTCTGCAACGAAGGTAACGATCAAGTTTGAGACCCTTCCATCGACCACGGTACCCTCACCTTCATCAAATGATCCCACCGCACATCTGAAACACACGATCGTCAACCACACTCTTCGACGTCTTCTGATCTCAAACAACGGTGCTGTATTCAGTGAGAAGGATTGGGGAAGATTGAAACGGATTGCAGACGGAAATCCAGACGAAACAAAAATAGGCGCATTTGGAGTGGGCTTTTATAGTGTTTTTGACGATTGCGAGGAGCCGTTTGTGTCTTCCGGTAGCCAAGCTATGGCCTTCTACTGGAAGGGGAATGCGCTGTTTACCCGCCGACTGGACCTCGGCGAAGCCGCAAGTCAAGACACCACTTTTGTCTTGGACTATCGCAACGATTCCTCCCCGATTCCATCATTGCTACAGCTCAGTCAATTTCTGTCGAGCAGTTTAACGTTTGTCTCATTGCAAGAGATTGAACTTTGGTTGGATGATTGGAACCTTCTACGGCTGTCGAAAAAAACGGCTCCTAGTGTCGATGTCCCGATTCCTAGAGACATTGACACTAAAACTACAGAAGGTTTGATGAAAATTGTCAATGTCACTCGAGAAATTGCCCAGGTCGATGCTTCATGGATGCGAATTGTGGAGTGGAATCCCAATGCAAGCTTGTTCCGCCTTGATAACATTCGTGATACAACCAGTTCTCTAAGGAGTTTCTTCTCTAAGTTTACGCAAGGTACACCCGAGAAACAATCTAATGCCCAGAACCCGGAACCTGAGCGCCAGGAAGACTCAAGCAACATGAACACTATGCTGTCGGCATCGGTCTTTTTGCATATAAACACGGCATTGCTCCAACCCTCTATCAGCAGAGATCTGAGCAAAGAATTGGAACGAGCCACACGGAAGCCTCCGCCTAAGAAAGCAACCCTCGCAATTCTAACACCTTCCTACGATGTCAACATGTTGACTGGAGCGTCCTCGTCACAGTCAGAAGTGCTTTCATCAATCTTACCCTCGAAAGGTGGAAGAGTCTTTATTGGGTTCCCTACACAGCAGACGACTGGCTTGAATGCACATGTCTCTGCTCCATCTGTCATTCCTACTGTGGAGCGAGAAAGCATTGATTTGAACACTCGGTACATCAGCAAATGGAATCTTGAGATGTTGCGAGCTGTTGGCATTGTTTGTCGAATCGCTTGGTCTGCAGAGATGGCTGCCATAAAATCGAAACTCGCATCCAGAGTTGGACCATTGCGCTCATCTAAGGTTCGGAAAGAGGACATTGTGGGTGTACTACCAGAGGCCATTCACACTGCAAATCAATTTGCATTCCGTGAATCTACCCCATCTTCTGTTTTGGGGCAGACAATTGAGGATGCATTCTGGATGTGCAACAAAAATGCATCTATTGAGGTTCTTTCTACCTGCGGTGTCATTCCCAGTCATCAAACGCGCATTGCACCCAAAGATCTCAGCTTCATGGATACAATTCCTGCATTGCCCGAAGAGTTTGTCCAGGGTGCTAAAGATTTTGTCAAACGGCTGACAGATTTTGGGTTGGTTACGGAAGTAACCGTATCAGATATCAAGCGTGAATTAGAGTCTAATACTTTACGATCCAACCAAGTCCTTGAATTTATTTCATGGCTTGGTCGTAAAACAGTTGCTGGCCAGCTTGATAGGTCTTCGGCTCAGAGTCTACTGCGCGTAGCAGTGGCTAATGACGAGGACAAAGAAGGGGTTCCAACTCGCTTGATTATCTTTGCGGAAATTAACTGCTTTTTGAATCCTCAGCGCATTCCGGTGGAACTGCCGGTACCACCTAGCGTGATACCTTTCAGGTTCACCAAGTCTTTGGAAAAGTCTGAATTGGAGGCACTTGGCTGGGTCGAGCTGCAAATCGTTCCCTGGCTTAACTGGATCGTCAAAAATTGCGGAGATCGCAACATTTTCTCGATAGATCAAGATATCACGCAGTCGGCAACCTTTTCGGGACAGGTATTGCCTGTGTTGTCAAAGCAATGGGAAACTCTGAGTCAAACTTCAAAGCAAAGTGTTGTCGCAAAACTTCAACCCCAGACTGTGATTCCCACGAAACTTGGAATGAAGCAACCAGGGCAGACATATTTTGCTTCTGTGCGTCTCTTTGATGACCTGCCTGTGGTTCACGGCCTGAATGGTGTTAAGGAGAAACTCTTGCTCCAACTTGGAGTTCGCAAAACCGTGGAGCTTGGTGTGATCTTCGATCGTCTGATCAACACCCCAGTCAACACCCTAGTCTCTAGTGATGTTAAAGGTCCTGTATCTAAAAAATGGAGTCACGTTGATCTCATCCGATACCTCGCCTCCGTACGAGAGGACATTCCTGCAAGCGACATCCAGAGACTAAAGGGGACGAGCATCTGCACGGCCGAAAATGGGAGTGGCACCGAAGGCACATGTCACACGATTTCCGAGCTTTATGAGCCGAAAGATGCACTCCGAGCTCTCGGCTTGCCGATTATCGAATGGCCGGGCATTTATAACCGCAACAGCAAAGAGGGTAAATTTCTCACAATGATGGGGCTCAGGAGTTACCCACCAGCTATTGAACTCGTTATGCTCATGTCAGCCGGGAGCACTGCGAAAGATAGTCGGGCAAGTAAAGCTTTGTCATATTTCCTTGGCGAGTATTACACGAATGAGTACGCTGCGTTTGAGATCAGCGCGGTGACCGTACCATTCCTTCCCATTGAAGGATCTGATAGCTTGAGTGTTCCGAAGAAGTGCTTTACTGATGAAGGTGCTGCCTTATTCGGTTTCAAACTTCTCAGAAGCAATCTCCACTCCCATGCCCCTAGACTGGGTGTTAAGGCTCATCCTCCCATGACGGACTGTCTTCAAGTTCTCGCGAAGCAGCCTCCAACCACCCAGAGGGACGCACGAATCGTGTTTAAATACCTGGCAGGCAGGGTGGCTGATCTAAGACAGCAAGACATAAACCACATTAGCCAAGTTCCTATCATCCCAATCCCCATCCGCGATCAATCGGAGAAGGGAGCCAAATACCGGCTTGTGGCCCCTAGGCTGTGCTATCTTGGAGACGGAGAGGACTACAAAGATATATTCGACTTTGTCAATTTCGGACAGGAAGCAAATCTCTTCCTCATGGCTATAGGCTCAAAACGAGAACCAACCAAGATTGAGATTGCACGCATGCTGGTGAAAGAGCCCGCACGCATATCTGCTGCGTTCCAAAGCTCTGAGAAGTACCTCATGCTTCTCAGAACCCTCGCGGAGGTGCTCCCGGTTCTGAAAAAAGATAAAGATCTTTACGCTGAGATGCGGAGAGCAAAATTCCTTCTTGCCAGTCGAGATATCCCACCCACGGTGTCAGCGCATGGTGGTAAAGAAAAGTCGAATTTGAAGGAATTCCATGACGAGGAGGACGACATGGACATCAAAGAATGGAGTCTTGCCTCTGCCAAAGACATTGTCGTGGTAGACGATTTCCAAAGTTTCAATCTCTTCAAAGAACACATACTTGCCGCCCCGCAAGAAGAGGCATTGGAGGATTTCTACGCGGCTCTTGGGGCTATACCATTAAGTGAAATTGTTGAAGAACAGGCGCGAATTGGCAACATCGCCTCTGATCAAACGCCTGCACACAAGCTGGAGAAGTTGATACTAGAACGTACGCGGCTTTTCTTGCATGATCAGCCCGCAGACTATGTTCTGCATGGATCCCGATGGCTGGAGAATTCCTTCAAAGTTCACGTTGTGACATCGATCAGTCTTACGAGATCGCTGAAGGGACGGCGGGTGTCGCAAACGCAGAAAAAAAATGCGATTGTCGCACAGCTGGCCTCGGGCGTGGGCATGTGCATCTGTACGGATCGATACGACCTGTATGAGATCAGTCAGTCCTTGGTGCAGTTGCTTTTAAAGCGACCGAAGCTTCACTCGACCCTCACATTGGAAATGCTGTTGAAGACCGATCTCTTAGAACTCCGCGCTCGAGGTTACAACGTGGAGCGTATTCTGAGGCAAAAAGCCCAAGAAGCTCGGATCGCGGAAGATAAGCGCCAGAAACAGGTCGAGCAGGAGAGACGGGTCTTGCAGGAGAGAGAAGCTGCCTGGGCGGCGGGTCAAGCCCAGCGTGACTCTCAGCGGGCCGAGGAAGAAAGCGCTGAAGCACAGGCGCAGCAGCATTCGATGCCTGGCGTTTTCCCAGAGTCGCCGAAAAATGACAAGAGCTTGCCAGAAGAGCCACCTGCCATTCCTTCACAGAGAATTCCAGTGCGAAACATGTTTGCCAATCTGTCGAAACGGTTTGGCTTAGATGGTGGAAAGTCTGGCTCAAACTCCGGCACAGAAGAACAATCTCGTTCTCTGCTTCCCGGATCTTCCACACCTCCGCCACCGCCTTACTCCCCTAATGACCCCCAGACTCAGCAAAAACGCCCCGAGCAACCTGTAAATGCCAATTCGCCGCATAGATTGAACTCGGAGCTTCTCTCCGCCGTCCAAGCTTGCCGACCTCACGGATCCTCCGACGTGTACAGTCGCCCAGAGACAAACCAAATCCAAGAAAGCAAGTCCTACTGTGATGAGCGCCCAAGTCATGACTTGGAATTCGTCGCGACGCTTCCCAATAGTGGCATGAATGTCCTTTTCACCAAGGCAGTCACTGAGCGGTCTGCCTTCCTTGCAAAAAACCGTGTTGGGTTTAACATCTTCGCTTCGATCCTTCTTGACTGCGGTACGATCTTCTCGATGCGGCCCGACAGCTTGACCATCTTCTATGACCCGGGCGGCAAGACGATCGCTTTCAACCGCGCGGGCAGCATTTTCTGCAACTACTTTTACTTCCAGTCTTTGCAAGAGCAGGAGCTGCTCAAGAGTGCGATGCCAGACCGCGCTGATGCTATTGTTTATTGGTGGGTGATTCTGTGCCATGAGCTGGCGCACAACTTGGTTGGGGATCACAGCTCTGCGCACAGTTACTACACCGAGGGCTTCGTGGCACAGTATTTCCCTAAGGTTGCTGTCAAGCTTGCTTCGCTGCAGGTGCCAGCTCCAGCTCCTCAACCTGGACAAAGTTGATGTTTTGTCTTTTGGATACCCTCTGCCCTCTCTGCTCGCAGGTAAAATGTGCTAGCCTTGATAGCAATTTCGGTTAATTTTTTATGTAAACAAATGGGTTTGAAAGCCCTCTCATTTATCTAAAAGGAAAATTTTGTAAAATGCAATGTGTCTATGATCTATTGGCATCTTGTCTCGTATAATATCATGCTCGTCGACAAAATACGGTTGACCAGTAGTAGGGTTGCAATGTGACAGGTATCATGCAGTCTTTGGTCCTTTGGTCTCTTGTTCCTCGTTCTCTGTGGTCTGAAGTTTACTAGCCCTTTCTGGCTAGCGTTCTGCGATGGCGCATCGATGTACAACATGTATATAGAGTTAGGGTGAGACAACCTAATAATTGATGGATGATGGATATTATAGGACTGACTTGGGGGTTATATGATTTTTCTGGCCAAGGGGTTTAAAACCTTGTTCTTCCCACCGACATCATACCCTTCCTTTGAATTCATCTCACTGTTGTTCGAAAAAGGTCCAATATCAAACCCTATTGCTCTCCATTGCCACATCGGTGAAACTTCCGTCGGTACCCGCTTTTGACCTTCCAATTTATCTCCAACCTTAATTTTTTCTCTCTTGCGTCAAACGACGATGCGTTGCCAGCTTACATCTCCGATGGCATGATCAACATCGTCATTTGAAAGCTACACTTCTCAAGTTTTCTTTTTTCGGGTTTCCCCATTGGGGCATTTTCTGAGCATATTGCCACTATTCGATCTCGTTCGATCAGATAAGCGGCAAACTCATCCCGAGCAGCTAATTCGAGGCTAAGAATTGAAGATCCTGCTTTGCAGAGGAGCTCTGACCTCACGGGTCGTGTTTGATTCCAAAGCTTGTTTCGAGATTGTCGGAATTCTCCTGTACACTCCGCCATCAAATTTAAACGTCAGCATGTCGCCAATGCTAGATGATTGGGATGCTCCAAACATTGAGAACACAGTGCCGCAACTTGATCCCAGCTCTTCGAGTAAGAGCGTTCTTTATGTCGATGCCTATGACTCATTCTCCTACAATGTCGTTGCTATGCTGGAGGAGACCCTGGGGGTCAAAGTCACCGTAATGACCATTGACTCGGAATGGCCCGAATCCAACATTAATGAGTTTCTCCAGCATTACGAAGCAGTCATTCTTGGACCAGGACCAGGAGATCCCAACGTGCCGACTGATGTAGGTATCATGAGGGATATTTGGAACCTTCGCGACTCGGAGCTCCTTCCCGTTTTTGGTATCTGTCTGGGCTTCCAAAGCCTCTGCCTTCATAACCGTGTTCCTATCGAGCGACTTCCATACCCGATTCATGGCCAGATTCACAAGATTTCCACGTCATCGAAGGACATCTTTGCAAATCTACCCGAGGTAGAGGTGACGCTTTACCACTCACTCTATGCCAACGCCGCCGCTTCAACATCGCCCGATTTGGAATTTTTGGCTTGGTTGTCTCTAAGGGACCGCACAAAAGTACAGATACCCATGGCAGTTCGCCATCTCAAGAAGCCATTCTGGGGTGTTCAATTCCACCCGGAGTCCTGCAAATCAGAAATCAATGCATGCAAAACACTTCTCCGAAATTGGTGGAGGATGGCTCTTGGATACAACAAGATTGTTGGACGCGGGGGATATTGTTCCCTTCCCAGCACAGTCATCAGCCCCCTAACAACCCCCAGTCTCTTCCCCGATGCTGCTTATGAAATGCTCAACTGGAGCAAGTCGACTTCGAAAATTTCGGCTTACCGGTCCCTTCACCGGCCTGGCTTGACCGCAGAGGCTATAGGTGAGTTTTTCAACAAACCAGGCTCACCAGCAGTCCTTTTCCAATCCAATGGACAACACAGCATCGCTTCGGTGCCGAGTCCTGGCTCATGGCGGTTTGAATACCATGTCGAGACACAGGAACTTCGATTGCTCCAACTGCATGGCGACTACAAAGAGGTTAAGAGTCATCTTACCGTTGCTCAATTGTGGGATGCCTTGCGGTACTTGATGGAAATGAAGAAAGTCGATTCAGGGAACTCTCAGGTGCCATTCTGGGGTGGCTTCCTGGGTTATCTTTCCTACGAACTTGGTCTCACTTGTCTTCCCCACGCAGACCATGCGCAGGCTTCTGAGTCACTAAAGCCCTCCAGTACCGAAATACCTTCATTTCATTCTTCCTTTGCAGATCCACCCGATGTCAGCCTTCTGTGGTGTGAAAGAAGTATCGTGGTTGACAATACTACTGGCGCCGTTGTTATTCAATCCACTCGCGCTAATGATGCGAATTGGCTCGGTGAGACACTAAAGCAGCTGCAGAAATTCTCGGACAGTGGCAACGACATGTCTGCGGACCAAGCCTTGGATTCAATTCTCCTGAAAAGCAAGATTCAGCTCCCCGAGGAAAAAGAGTACAAGCGGCAAATTGAGTCATGCAAAGCGGAGCTGGAGGCCGGTGAATCTTACGAACTATGTCTAACCTCTGAGACATTAATCACCTTGCCAGTTCCAGAAGTGGAGTCTGATCGCGTGATGTTCCCCTGGAAGCTGTTTAGACGACTCAAGAGATATAACCCAGCTGCATTCAGCGCTTTCGCGGATTTGGGAGATACGAAGATCGCCAGCAGCAGTCCAGAGTGTTTCCTCAACTGGGACCGTGAATCAACACTGGAGATGAAGCCAATGAAAGGCACGGTCCGAAAATCACCAGACATGACTATGGAGAAGGCCTGTGAGATTCTTGGCTCTACGAAAGAGATGGCCGAGAATCTGATGATAGCGGATTTGATCCGGCACGATCTGTACGGCATCTGCGGATCAGGTGGTGTCCATGTCGAGAAATTGCTCGAAGTCGCAGATTATGGCCGAGTTTACTCAATGATCACCCACATCAAGGGCAAGATCCGGCCCAACCACCCTGGTTTTGCTGTGCGACACATGTCTCAGCTGAATACTCCCAACATGTCCGTTCACGGTCTGGCAACCCTCCAGCGGTGTCTACCACCAGGTTCCATGACTGGTGCGCCCAAGGAACGCTCTTGCATGCATCTTCGGACGATTGAGAATCGCAAGCGTAGCATTTACTCCGGCGTGATGGGTTTCCTGGACCTTGGCGGAGGCGGAAGCTTCTCGGTTCTGATTCGCTCGGCATTCGCTTTTTATGGTGGTCAAGATTACACCGAGAATAAGCAGCAGACTTGGCGAATTGGCGCCGGCGGTGCCATTACCACACTCAGCACCGCGGAGGGCGAATGGGATGAGATGTTGACCAAACTGCGTGTAGTTTGCAACGTCTTCAAGCCGCTGAGTGCAGAGGAGGAATTTGCTAAAACCTCTTAACTACTCGGTGCAGCTTTGATTATTTGTCATTATGACAGTTACGCTTGATCGCGTCACGATCCACGCTTTGCCTTGCGTTCAACATCCGGATCCGTGCGTTGGGATAGTGATTCGATTCAACGTTCAGCGTTGGCGTTGGCTTTTCGGTTTACCTTTTGCTTTTGCATTAGTACCTCGGGCTTTGTCTATGAAGCCCATTCAACAACTGTAGAAATTAGATATGCAAACAATCATCTCTCGTCGTCATCGCAAATTGTCAAGATGCAAACAATGCAAACATGATTCTGTCCGCAGCTTCAACTTCCGAGTTGCGTCTTTTCTTTTCCTCTTTCGTTGACAAAAATTAGAGCTTGTCAAGAGCTTCGATAGACCGGAGCCGGCTCGGTATATCATTTCAGAGTCGCAAATGGCGAGCCAAGATACCTCAATGGAGGAGATCCTCTGGCGGTCTCCCCCGCACATCCAGATGATGGGGGGATTCCTTCACTCCAACAACAGTGAGTTGTACACCTTACCACCCCTGATCCTGCCATTTCCTGATCCATTAGTTCTGTTCTACTTTGCCGAATCACCTTTCTTTGATTCGACCTCCAACAACGCCTCCCTCGCCATCCAAGCCAACTACAACGATGCCTTCCGTCATTTCGTCGAGACGCGCGAAGCTTTCGAAGCCCGACTGAAAACAATGCAGGGTTTGGAGTTTATCGTTTCATATGACCCCCTCCAAGCAGCTGCGCAGACAGACAACCGCTTCGCCCACGAGCCGTCCAACATCTGGGTGATCCGCAAGCAAAACCGGCGGAAGAGGAGTGGTATGGACGACGAGGTGACCGTGATATCTACATACTTCATTGTCGGGGACTGCATCTACATGGCCCCTTCAGTTGCGAGTGTAGTGGGCAACCGAATTGTATGTATCCTCTCGGAAGTTATCAATGACTTCACAAAAAATTATTCTAATGAATCTTTCCCCCGCAGCTCTCAGCCGTGACATCCTTGACCCAGCTCATGAAATCCGCCGCAACATTACCAACATTTACCGCCTCCCACGGACACACTTACTTGCCACCTGGAGTCCGCAGCAAAGAACCAGCCGGAACCAGCCAAGCTCCCCAGAGCAAAGAAGCAACACCCATGCCAGACGTATCCTTTCCAGCCACTGAATCCTCCCAATCAACCAGTAAATCAGGCCTGGGTGGCTCAACCATAAGCTCCAGCTATCAACATACGCGCAGTCTAGCGGAATCATTCAGCCTACTCACGCGCTACGGCGACGAATTCATGGACGAGAGCCCCCTCGTCGGTGAACCCGGCTCATTCATCTTATCACGGACTGGCGGTGAGGCTACCGGCTCGGCTATTAAAGGTGTGCCGAAAATTGCTGCTAATGCGGCGCCAACTGGTACGCCTTCTACCCTGCCTGTTAGGGCATCGACGCCGCAGGTGCGTGTCGACACACCCGGTAAGGCTTCCGAGAAGAGTTCACCGCCTAGCTCTGCTGGTGATAAGGGGAAGAAGAAGAAGAGCCGGATTATTAGCTGAGTTGCCTTGATACCCTTTTTTCTTGCATCTCTGGGCGTTTGGGGTTTGGCATAGTATTTTCAGGGACTAGGGCTGGCTATCAGCTCATTTTGACCTTAAATCTCTTGACCTGACTGACCTCACTTAGTATCTCTCCGAAAATTGAAATGTTGTAGCTCATCTCACTCGTTTTCGGGTATTACCGTTGAGATTAATTCTCTATGGATTCTTGACACTGCTGCTGTCCTTTATAATGAGAGCGCCTATCACAAGTTCACATTGTATTTCGGCCTTTTGGGGAGATGCCTTGGGATCAGAAGTCCATTCATCATATCAACATCTTTATTACAACAGAGGACTATGTTGAACATTTTCATTGGACACTGAGCTCGATGGATCGTTTTAGGTAACAGTGTGAACCAGGGCGCCGGTTTTCATTATCACATCAAAACATTTCCAGGACATGTGTGTGACAGACGGAAGTTGATTTGGCAACTATAATACCGGCAAGTTATTATTCAAATGATCTGTCAGATATTTCTGAATTTACGACTCGACACCTCACTTTGCAAGAGGGGTAATCACACTTATAGCTAGAAGACATGGAGAAGAGGATAAGCACCAGGCTTTTTAGCTTCATCGGCTCAGGCCTTGTAGTCTCTGGTCATTGTACTCAGGCTGGTCCGGCTCTTTTTTTGCGTGGGGGGCAAGATAATAGGGCGAGGAACCCACGGGCGTGCTGCCCCTGTTCAGGAACTATCTAATTCTCTCCTGTCACCTAAGGGGGTATTGTCACATTTTGCTAATTCTAACACTGAATCCCGATCCCATAGTAAAGCTCCTGATGCATTTTTTCCTCTCGACTTTTGTAGCCTCAGATGCTGAGTGCCTAATAAGAGACTGTGACTTCCTTGTTATGCACGAAAAACCCGTCCGTCTTTCATTATTTCCTCTTTTTTTGTCCGGAGACACAAGAAGACGAAATTCGGTGGATGGCAAACTGCTTCGGACATGCTTTGGAAAAAGATGATCGTAATTACCGCCAATTCTGCATTGACGGTGGGAAATACACTATTGTCGAATGAATTATTTAATAGGTTCCCCATGCCATAGAACACTAAAATAAGAGAGGCATCTCTTATAATGACGCAATGGGTTGTACCCGACATTATTAACAATCATCTACAACGAAACATAGTCCACGGCTATATGAACTTCGTGTAGAAGCTAGAGGCGCCATCCAACTGCTGGTAAGTTAATCAGAGACCGATTTGATCAGCCTTGGAAACCCGATTGGTTCGGCTCAGAATTAGCATTTGAGTTCAAACTTTATATAGGTCTTGCTCTCTTCGCTTATCAATTCATGGGCTCGACCTCGGATGCAGATGATCCAGTCGGATGAAACTTGGCAGGGGGATTCATAGAACTACTGATAGAATATATTTGGGATCGTCACTTCTCTCTCAGAGCGACAATAACTCAATTTGTTAGAGCAGCCAGCCATATATACGGCCTCTAACAATCTTATTTACTTATCTCAAGATGATGTAAAGGATGTTACATGTGAAATAATGTTTCGTTGTATCTTCTTTGTAAACGCCTTTTCAGACAAATTTTGCAAGTCTCTTTAAACACATACCCCCGTGGATATATTATGACTTGCCACTCTAATTTATACGTAGGCGATGCAGAGCATAAGCTATATAGAGGACTTTTCCGTGTATATCGTTTAACAATGGTGGTCACGGAAATAAACGATACACCTCTCTAACTATCCGGAATTGAGAGACCCAAGGCATTGGAAAGCGGTAATGGCCTCGTCCAGGAAACAAGTTTTGACTAAATCATGATAGCGACGCGCTAAGCAAATCAACGGGGTTTTCTTGACCGTTTAGTTATGGTTGTTAAAACTGAGCCAATGTGATGAGTTCTATTAATTCCCCGGGGCTAATAATAAATCTGACTGAAGAACTGTGTCATGTCTGTTTAGTGAACCTAACTTCTTGCACGGACCTATTCTTTTCCACGAATCGAAAACTTTCTCTAATATATAAGTCGGCTTAATTGTGACACTTCTGATAATATATCCCTTTAATATAAAGAGCGCTATCTTAAATAGGTGGCACTTAAGAATTTCAACAACGGATATAACAACTCCGCATGTAACGGCTTGAATAGTTTTTGCACTGATGTATCCCTCGCCTTCAATGCAAAGTCCGTTATTCTCAAAGGCGTGTTTTGCCCACAATTGATGCTAGTTCTACCGGTTGGGAAATATATGCCCATCCTTCGCCTAAAGAAGTCAGTAGTTATTACCTCAGTAAGTGTCTAATAGATCATTATAAAACATGTACAATTTGGGTCAATTTTTGCCTCTCTTATTTTGTGATATCAACGTCCAAACTCCACAAAAACTACGTAGATTCAGCACCACCTAAAAAAAGACAAAATGAAACCGAAAAAAACATACAACAGTGAGGATTCGCTGGTGGTCACCCACCCAACTACTAACTCACCGGCGTGTGGCTTAAGTACGGCTGAGCGGACGGGAAGCCCTGTTTTCCACACCCTATGGTCGTATGTGCAAGTTCAAAGGGAGAAATAAGTTATCACAGTGTCATCTTAGAATCAATTGGCAAAGTTCGGTGTTGGGTGGCCAGGCTAGGGATAAGAAGGATGAAAGTGTCAAGGAGCTAGGTGGTTGGTGAGCTAAGTTTTGTTTTTGTTTTTTTGCTCTTTTTTAAATCACTAATCTTAAAGACAATACGTTGGAGCATAAATCGAAGAAACTCTCCTAAGATTAGCGGGAGTAGTGTGGTTTAAACAGTGGCTGACGATCCAAAAGCGTCGAAATAAACAGAGATGTAACCGGCCCCTGAAATGTTTTTTCAAAAATACGGACCCCCGCAAGCGAGGGTCCGCCATCCATTTGTAGAGGATCACCCAAACGTCGGTTTTTTTTTTCAATTTTGTCATTTTGATTTTTATCCTCTACCACGCCGCCCACCATGCCTAAAACCAATAAAGATATAGAGATTGAGATTGAAAAAGCAATAGACTCTCTCTAATCAATCTAAACCT